CTGAGGACCGCAGTGGACAGCAGCAGGTCAATAAAGTATCAATGTTTTTGTTAACTGGTCAAAACTGTCATTGCCCAGGGGGGATTTTATTACCTTCCAGTAAATGTATAGTTTTAGCAGCTCTGACTGAGCACATTCTGCTGCCCAGTTACCACTCTGTGTATTAGCTGGATCTCAGCCACTGTCCGATTCAAGATTTGAACAAATTAAAACATTTCAAAAAATTCATGGATCAGAACATTATATGATGTTGCTGTAGGATGTGTTGCTTACTAAATAATTCATTCTCTCTTTTTATTGGGAAAAAAAGAGACGTTTTGGCGACCGAGTGAAGCAGGAACAACTGTGATCTTTGGCCGAGTCAAATTCTTCCCTGTACCACTCTTAATCCTCCTGTATGTGAGAGAGAGTGTTGGCCGTCACGCACATGGACAGTGTTTTCATTCAGGGCCGATGTGATCACGTAACACACCCACAAGTGACCTGGGAATGTGTCTGGTCTGGTTACACACACTGCTGGTAGTCTACTTTGCTACTCTGGACTCAGAAGTGGTGATGTGAACTCCTATAGTGTTAATTTGATTGAGTTTTATATTCTCAGACATTTCCAATGCCTGATCATTTACCATTTAGACCTTTGGTGGTATTGTTTCCCTCTTTAGTCTTTGTTTTTAACATTGTCCATTTGCTGTGTTGTCAATCCAGTCCTGACTGCTTTTTCCTTAGGTTTTCTATTTAATGGAGAAAGTGACAGCTCATAATAACTGTACAGTTGTTCTTTTATTTATTCCAACCAAGCACTGTTGCCAGACACATAAAATGTGTCATTTCCTGTATGCTGAATAGATTTTTCCCAGGAAAGTTTTAAAGTTTTCAGAATGGTTTGTTTGCTGTTGGGGTAGCTCAGGTAATAACATAACTTTGTTTTTCAAGTTACAAGGAGCCTGAGTGTATTAAACTTATCCTACAAGTAGTAAAATGTGAAATAATGCATATCTGTATGTAACTCACACAGGAAAAGGCCAGTAAATTCTGTGTTCTTCCCTACTGCAACAGACCTACTCAGTGGAAATCAAAATGGTCCTGAACCACAAGGCACATTGTGCTCACAAACCACCCATTTACCTCACACATTTGTAGATGTGTAGGTAATCGCATTTACTCACGCTCCGGACATTTATATGCATCAAGCAGACACCCTGCTCTTTGGATGCAGTGTAATATTAAATGTGGCACATGCTGAGCAAATTCAGATTTCATCTATATAACAAGAATTTGAATGTATTTTGTCATTTTAACTTTTAATAATGATCCTTTTTATGTGCTCATCATTAGTAGACAGCCAAATCCAGAGACAAAAGATAAGGACAGAAAAAGAGGAGCAGTAGAAAAGCACCTTGAAAAAACGAGACAGAGGAGGTCTATATCTGGTGAAAATCTCACTCCTCAGAATACCTTTTTTGAATGTTGGTGCTTTTTTAACACTCTATTTCCACCTCCCTTCTCCTTCTTGTCTCTGAGATATCCGTCTGCAGATGTTCTGCTCATAAACATTAAGAGGCACCTGTCTCTCCTGCTGTGTTCTCCATTAAAGACCTGGGAGTGGTTTGGCCAGCACAGTGAAGTGGTGCTGTCTTTGGTATTGTGTCCTTGCTTCTGACTCATAGTATCTGTTTTTTGTCTGTCCCCCTGGAAGCCCTGTGGACTCTCATAGCTATTTGTCTAAATAACTGTTTCCTGCTGTATGTATAGATCATGCAGCAAATGAGCGACCATCGCTATGACAAAATGACGGTACCTGATGACGTCGCTGCCAACTGCATCTATATGAACCTGCCTAATAAGGGACATGTGCTTCTGCACAACACAGCCGAAGAGTTTCCAGAGAGTGCAAAGGTAATGCTCTTAACATCCATACACTGTAACCCTGTCTCACTCACATATTCATTTACAATCCTGAGGTTGCACCTCTGGGAGAAAGAAATACTGCCATGACAGCCAGACTGGCTCACTGGCTTAGATTTAAGGAGGACTGTCTGTTGTTACTCTTTGTCTTGTCCAAATCTCTGAGCAAAACAACAGGCTGGAGAGGAAAACCCTAATTAAGCTACATGGATCTTGTACACAGACAACTGTTGGTCACCCACAGCCAAGCCTGTGTTTTTTGACAAAGGACTCTGCAGTTTGATGTGCAGTGACCTTTTGTGAACATGGCTCAGACTGCAGAATAGGAGCCAGAGATCCTCTTTGACCTCCTGGGTGCTTTTTTCCCCCTCAGATCTAGAGTTAATCATCAGAATAGTTCTTGAGGTTTCTATACTCAGTGTTTTTATTTCAGCAATGGGTTGAATGTCTACTTGTTTGTGAAACCAGTACCCTGCAGTTCCACCCAGCTCTACAGAACAGTTTAGCTTCTTCTAACTCATTTAGTTTTACAGTCGCCACCTTTATTGGTTTGGTTCACTCTTACAGCTCTAATAAGTGTATAAATATATCATAATGAGGGATATGTATAATAAGGTAATAAACCCCCTGTACCTGCTCAGCATCAAACAGCAGACAATCAACAGCTAAAGAGCCAGATATTTCTCTCCAGAGTTGCTGGGGAAGAGACCAGAGCTAAAAGCAGAGTGACTATTGGATTTTAATTTCTGAGGTGAACACAATTACAGCTCCAAATGAATGTTGCTGTGTGTCTGCAGGATGTGCATATAAGTTGGTTTTTTTAACATGTCAGCAAAAGCCCATTAATACAGGTTTAAGTATCTTAACTTTTTTTCATAAAGAAAAAATGTAATATTTCATCCTAAATAAGCAAATTACAGAATTATACTTGATGCATCTTATTTCTTTTTCTAAACTTAATACTGCTGACTTGGTGCACCGCCATGGCCTAGTGGTCTAAGATCAGTTGTAATATAAGGGAAAAATGTCAAAATATAGTTAAAAAAATAAAAGAAAAAAGATGCTTTCCTGATTGATAATCCAGATGAAATTTAGAAAAAAGAACCTTGTGGATGGATAGAAAAATATTTTTTGTACTTATCATTTCCAAGTTACGTTCTTTCAGGAACTCATTAGGAAAATCAGCACATGAACACATAACTTTAACCCTTCTTAAATTTCTTTCAGACTTAAGTGACCTACTTGCCAACACCTATGAGATCATGTATTTTGCATATTTGTTCTTTTCTGTAGCTTTACCTGAATGATGAGTCTCACTTTGTTTGTTGGGGTTAGGAAAGGCTGAGCAGTAGCTGGGTTATTTAGATGCTTCAGGGTTGCTTTCACTTCAGAACAAGTAAAAGGATTGAACACAACACCCTACAATCTGCAGAGACAGTGCTCAGACCTCAAAATGTACTCTGTGGTTAAAAGCCCAACCCCCGCCAACTATTTTTAGAAGGAAGAATTCACAAAATTATGCGTCTTTGGACTTAAATCCTCAGCAAAGGCTCTGTTTTTTCCAGGATGATAAACTGAGGGAATTCAACTTGAGCATACTAAAAAATATTTGTGTATCTCATGCTTCCTACTTTAGTAGCGCATTTTAATGGACCGTATTAATTAATGGAGCAATATTTGAGAAATGTCTGGTTGCTTTCTGTAATCCATTTCCCTTCATAATGTTCAAACCCACCAGATCTTGGCTTGAAACCCAGATGCTCCCAAACCTGGCGTATAGAAACTGTATCTCTGATCAGAACTGACTAACATGTTACCTAGTACAGAAGGTTTACTTTTTATATGCTTCTCAAGGGACCTTGTTGCCTGTTTGTCCAATGACATGGAGAATGACATGTTCGGTACCTCAGTCACAGAGACACTTTGCAAGACCTGCTCCTGCCTAACTCTAAACATTGTCTGTTCTAATGCCTGGCCTATTTTTATTTTGCTTGTGATGTTACATAAGAGTTCCACATTAACAAAGGCAGGGGGTCATGAGAGAGGATTGGTAGGGTCGGAGGGGGTGGAGACAGGGCATCTCTAATGGGTAGCAGCGCCGACGGCTCTAGAGGATTCATTTTGGAGATAAAGAAAGTAAGTAGACAAAAGGACCAGTGAAATATAGCAGCCCCTACTGTGTGGGACCATTCCATTCCCCAACCCAACATATAAATCTCAACTGCAGTAATGAGAACTTGGCTGGAAGTGATCAGAAAAGGACACACTGGAGGTGGAGATGCTATAAACAGCCAGGCATTTACTCATGTTGTTCTGGGAGAGTTATGCTAAAGCACAGCCTCCCCTGAATTGACTCCTGTGAATATGTGGTCTAATTAGGGTTTTTTTGGATGGCACTGTTAATCATTAGGTCTGTCACTGATCCCTTTGGTCCACACTGAAATGTCATGAAGTTTTGTTTTTCTTTTATACTGTAGTGTCTCCACAACTATCGGACAGGATGTCATGAAACTTGGTACATGCATTCATGGTGCCCAGAGGATGCGTTTCTATAACTTGGTGAACCTCTGACCGTTCATCTAGTGCCAAGCATGAGAGTGACATGTGGTCTAACTGAAACGCACCTCAGCAGCAACTGGACTGAGTGTCATGATATTTGTTTCAGAGATTTATTTCCATCAGGGTGAACTGCAATAACTTTAGTCATCCTTTAACTCATCTAGTGTCGTCGGGTCAAAATTTGGATTTGTCTTATACTTTAGTTTGTCATCAAATACATGCAAACCTAATGACCATCCCATCAGATGTAGCTGCATTTTGTATTAATGACAGTAGCAAATGTTAGCATTTGTCAGATTGTTATAGGAGCACCAGAAATGTTTAATAATTGACAGAGGTAACACCACATTTGATTAACATGTAAGAAAATGCACACTCAGGGTAAAGTCACAGCTCTCCCAGCAGGCGCTCAGCAATCCAGCCTACACAATGCACCATGGGCCTTCCCTGTCACAACAAAAACAAATGCAAAAGAGGTGGTGAAGCCCAAGTTGCTCAAAACACTAAGTGTTGCTGGACATTTTGTTTCCCAGTTAGTTTTTTCCTTGTCTGTGCACGGATGAATTTGTGCCAGAACTTTCTACTGTATCCAAATGTTAGCATGAAATATGGCTTAAAAAGATGTTAGCATTGCTTTTGTGAGCAATTTATTTAGTGTTGCCCTTTAGTCTTGGTTTCAACATTTACACTGTGGGTGAACCAAAGAATCTGACATGAGAAGTGCACTAACACCTGCAGTGAACATGCTACAAATATAAACAAAAACTATATGAAAATTGTACATAAATTTACAATAACATCAGATTTTTAAGTGGCATAATGGTGTTAAATGAGAGCATGTAGTGCCATAGTTCAAATTATTTAGGAGGGCCCTGACCCGTGCTCCTGCTCACACTGCACAAAATATCTTGGGAAGAGGAAGAAGAGTCAAGAACTCTAAGGCACATGGTTGTGGAAGCTTTTTACCAGAGGCTTTGTCAGCCATATTGCATCACGAGATAAGAATTTGTTTAGCTGGTCCCTCTAGCTGTGCCGCAAGACCTTGCTCAGTATCACAGCAGGGTTGAAGAGAGAGTTTAAAGAGAAAAATATCCTGGCTTGGAAGCCTGGTAGGAAAACACTGGTTTTCTTCTGGAAAATGTCCACAGGGTGACACACTACTTTATAAGAGTCTTTTGAGAATGTCGTGATAGTTCTCACTCCCATTTTTTTTATGTGTATTTTGCTGGGAGAGCAGGAACTTGAGCTAAATGCTTGTTCTCTTGCTTTAGATTTCATTTCTCTGCGGGGCTTTTATATCGCAGATTGTTAGAAGTTGAGAAGAAGATTAAACAAATATAAATGTTGCATAAGTTCTGCCTTTCATTTTAGCTACAGCTAGTTGAACTACACTTCAGCCTTTTGCAGTCAGGCTGGCTGGTCAATATCTAACAGTGGCTCACAGATCTGATACCTGAGGGCAGAGTCGGGAAGTGGAACAGGAACAGCTGTTGCCATGACAATGTCTGTTTTCTGTTTTGATTATTTCTTTAATGTAAGGAGACAGACTCTTGGGTCCTGAATATATCAAAGCACAAAAAAAATGTTTTCCAATGATATTTGGCTGAACACAGTGATGATCTGTTGAATTTCAACTGACATAACTGTATAATAACATTCCAAACTGAATTATTTGTAAAGGCATGATATGAGTTTGTCCAATGTCAGCCTTGTCTGTGTGTCCCTCAGGTGTTCGAGAAGCTGAAGGACCACATGCTGATCCCTGTGCCCAATGCAGAAATGGTCAAAGTGGATGGATCGCTCACATGCCTCTCTGTACTCATCAACAAGAAGGCCAACATTTGAGCGTGCTCACCAGGGAGTCTCTCAGTGCATGGTAACAAAGCAGATTTGTATATCTGATCACCAAGATCATCTGACCCCAAGATTTATCAAAACTTTCTTGGTACTTAGAGGAGGGATAGGCAGCGTGTTGTTGCTGAGGGGCAAAGAAAATATATTGTAAATTGAAGAGCCTTCTCCTCTACCTCCCTATAAGAAAAAATACTGAAATTACAGTGAAAGGTCTTATTTTGTTCTTGATCTGCATAAACAGATCTAACTAAAGGCAAATAAACAGGCTTGCTGGTTTGGTAGGTCATGGAGTCTCCCCATGTTAAGCCATGTTTTTGACAGTATTTGTCCTTTAGAACTGTAAGATCATTTAAATTAATTAGAAATGTTTCTGATAAGCTCATCAGAGCCAACCTGCATAGCCCCTACAGTGCTGCTGGTGTGTAAATCAGCCCTTGCTTACTGTTCGATGTTTACAACCCTTTAACAGAACCACACAGAGCAGTGGACCATCAAAACCAGTTGGATTTGTTTGATAAATAGTTTTTGTTGTCCTACCAATATTTCACAGCAGATTTGAAAATGACAAAATTAACAGACATCTACAGTGAAATGTGTTTGGTATTCTGTTCACATGCACCACCAAAAGTGTGATTTAGTTTTTGTGTGTTTGGTTACACAATGCAAATGCAACTCAGTTTCTGATATATTTTTCCAGAACTGTATTTTGGAGCAAGGAGGATGGAGAGATGAAATCCTGCTGTATGAAAACCCTACATGTACCACTGCTGTAGTATGAAAACCTCAATGTCACTTGCTATTAACTTGTATGTTACATTACTTTTCTGTAAATTTGAAGTTCCACATTCCAAATTCCATTGCCACCTGTTGATCTGACCACAGGATGCTTTGATTTCTCATTCAGAAAATGCAGTTCTTGAAAGTCCTTCTGGAAAGAGGAGCGTTTGGTATCGCATTGTTATGATTGCTTTAGCATTTTGTGATTGATATTGAAAGTACTGCCACTGAGACCTGAGGTGCTCTTACTTTTCATGACTATTGCTTACCAATCATTCCCATTGATTGTAGACTAGTGGTGACAGTTTTTGACCCTTAATAATTGCCACCAGCTGCAGAATTTATTCGACAAGGACCCACCTGTAGCTGTTTTGTGGCAGCAATTTTGCATCTCTTCTGTTAAGCATTTGGGGATGCAAACTTAATAAGCTGCACCAACCCTGCAGAGGCCAGTTAAAAACTGCCTGTGTAGGAAATGTACGTTTCCATTACTGTGAGTTGAACTAAGCTTTAATTTAGTCCAAAATAACACATCTGTCTTAATGTACTACTGTTGTATACCTGTATGGAAAAGCAATGGCTTTATTCCTTCTGAAAGATTCTGAAGGCATTGTTGTTGTTGTTTTTACACCCCATTGATTCTACCTGTGTTGTTCATTTCACTGTTCTTTTTCCCATCTAGCAGTTTTTAAACTCCAAAAGTGACTTGGAACATGCTGTGATGCATGTTCCAAGTCACTGACGTCTCTTCCACTAAATCCAGTAGCTCCAAATGTGCTGCAGTGAGTTTACTTTCAGCATGCTGAACAAACTCACTGCCCCTTTGGCGTGTCTATGTGTTGCAGATGTTTAGAGGATGTTGATGAGCTGTTTTAGTGGCCTTACCTTTGTTGTTGCTGAATTCATGTTTGAGGCCTGTGGCTGTGACTACATAGTATATGTTAATATTTAAACTGTACATACACTACATGCTGTGTATACAGTGGTTCAGATGCTGTTCACATCTGAACCACTGTTGTTTCTCCATGTAAGTGAACATTGAGGAAATGACATCAGGAGGTGATTGAATCTCCCTCCTCAAATGTTTACGTATGGGCAAACGAGTAGTGATGAAACATGGAAAGAATTCCTGTTGGGAGGAGAGGCTTGTACGCAAGTAAACAGTGACTGTTAAACTTTCTTTCTCTCAACTGTCTCACGCTCAGCACTCACTCTCTCCCACCCTTAGCTGTTGCCTCATAGATGACTCTGGGCTAATTTATGGCCATGATATCATACAGTCTGGCAAACGCTGTAGACGTGATGGCCTGTGTGACACTAGTACTGTATTTTACAGAAGGCGGCTGGCTGGGTGCAGGTTCTTAGGTGCAGAGCAAAGTGGTTCTGATTCTCAGTTGATTCTAGAAGGCTGAGACTGCCAGAGAAAGTCGTACACTGTCTGACTAGTACTGTGTCAACCAGGGCAAGTAAAGTCATTGTTTCTGAAGCTGTCATCTTGTCTTGGAGTGTTCCCAATTACTGTTAGTTACTTGTATATCTCTGAGCTCTCAAAATCTTTTCTGATTGCTGAGTAGAAATCACAACAGTACAACAACAGTTTAGTACATTTTTGGCTTTTGCCTGGCCAGGCTGTATGAGTAAGTGCTCCCGAAAAGTGTGCTTACTTTGTTCAGGGCTTAATTATCCTCTTACTCACCCCATTAATCATGATGTCATGATTGCCCATGTTTGAACTCAAGCCTCTTGCTTTTCATACAAGTTGTGGGTAGTAATTTTTGAGTCATTTTTAATTGAGCTTTTCGTCTACTTTGTGTACTACATAAACATTTGGCATTCAGCTGTGTTGTACTTTTTTAAAGATTCAGATTAAAATTAGTTGAGCATGTAGAGGTATACCTGTCATGATTAATGTTAATTCTTGTTTTGTTTAACAGCTTTTGACAGTCTATTCACACGTATTGCCTGTGAATACCATAGGTAATACCTGTGAACACACAGGTTGTAGATCAAAAGGTTTTTCCAGTGTGACAAAATAAAAATGTGAATCTGGAACAAACTCTTGCCTTAGCATGGGACTAGCTGAAACAGCAGTCATCTGTCTCTTGGTCTCTGCTCCCATCTAGTGGTGCCAGAGATGCAAGACATATAAAAACAGGTTTACACTTGAGCACAGAACAGTGCAGTAACTGTTCAGAGGCAAGAGAAGCTGCTCAGGTCTGGTGTACTGTAAGCAGTCTGGTGTCTCCTATGTCTGACGTGTGCCCAGGAAAGTCCAAATGGTTGACTTCACAGAAAATACAACTGGAAGAAAAGATGTTTGTTTTATTACCAAAAATACAAAGCTATACAGTAATATACATAGACAACAAAACAAAAAAAAAACATCATGTGGAAGGCAGTTAATAGAAGGATGATAAAAAATTTTAGTTATACCTTAGGTCCATGTTAACTTCCTCAGCCAAGATTAATGAAGACCCTTTTAAATTCATCTTAAAATATTTAACAAAAGAGAAAATACAAGTTAATATAACAAATGTCGTCAAAACAGAAATTAGATGCAATTCATATGCATAATAAAATTTGACAGGAAGTTGCATTCAGATATTTAACTGATTTTCATTGTCGCTACTGTTAATACGTGTTACTCCAGGCAAAGAACAGTGCTCAGAAATGCACCAATTATTGGCAAATTGGTACTGTATTGACTATACAATACAGTCCTCTTGATTACCTTGTAGTCTTACTAAATGTTCTATCTACAGCAGTGTAGTTCTCAGCCCTTAAAGGAAATCTTATAAACAATTATAACAAGTAATATATAATGCTTCTATATTTTAAACAGTATTTGAACCAAATTTATATACTATACCTGCCGTGTATTTAGCTACAAGGGAAATTGGTATACAGGTTCCCTGGTCTCCTGTCAGCAGTGACTTTGTAGTCTAATCTGTCTGCAGCCTCAGCCAGAGGCAGGTAGGAATGGTTAAGAAATTCATTGCCCAAGCAAGGTAGGACAGAGGCTAAACCATCAGTGCAGGGACACTGCCATGTTTGGAGGAGCTCGTCTCCCATCCCTGGCCCTCCTTTATCTGTGACCTGCTCATACACATACTTGTTTCCTTTTGGGAAAAGAATGACACTGTCCTTGTTCACACTCACGTAGTCTGGAAAAACCTCAGTCCCAGGGCTCCTGTCTACCTGTTCTCTGCTGGAGAAGCTTTGCACTGGAGACAGGAGCAGAGTGGATTCATGTGACTTCTTCCCCAGTCCTGAAGCTTTGTCTTCAGAAAGTATCTCCACCACAGATGAAGTGGGTTCTTCAGAGCACTGCTTGGCTATGACTGCAGGACTCTGCAGTGTGAGCACAGCACAGTGCATGTTCAGTAGTTGAAGGCATTGATGCGCATTTAAATTGTTACAGCTCAGTGTAACCTAACTACTAAGACTCACTTAACTTTTACTGCTTGCGTTTAATCTATATTTTCCTCATTATTAGAATATTTACTGTATATTGTATCTACATGGCTAAATTAGTTATAGATAAACCCTTGTCTTACCCATTCCTGCCTGTTGATCTCTGTCAGAAAGCCTTGCAGGACTTTGTCAAGGTTTGGCACTGGTGGCCAAAAATACTGCTTGAGCTTACTGTAAAATATCCAAAGACAAAAAACATTAAACACTGTGGTTTAACAGCGAGTTAAAAAAAAAAAATCTAGCTTTTGAACATCAAGTAACAGTGATTTGAAAATGGTTTTTAGCATATAATGTGTCAAACTACAAATTAATTATTCAGTACAATTTGCACATCATCACAGAGAAGAATATTACATCTTTATCGTTTGTTTTTAAATTGTGTCATCTGAATAAACTATAGTAAGTGTCTGATTGCAATGTTGATGAACAGGAAAAAGATCCCACCTGAGGTACATGGAAGACAAGTAGATGAGGATGATGGCAGTAATCAGAATCGAGACAGGGATACACAGCATCAGCAACAAACCTGCAGAGGTTATTTATACTGCATTAAGGTTTGAATACTATACATAATATTTTATTAGAAAAACAAGAATTGCATTTCATAGGACTGGGGCACAGCAGTGCATTTTCTACATTACTACAGTTGTTACTACACAAACAAATTTGGATAAACTACTCATTGACATTCTTATAATTTAAGATGAAAAAGATCTACTAAATTGCTGCCCTGCATTTGGTGCAAGTTCTCCATTATTAAGTAAGCAAAATGCTTTACAAGGATTTTTGTCAATCGAGAGGAGCTTACCTGTGTCAGTAGAGGTTTGACCAGTGAGCACATCTGACCAGTCACTCCAGTAGCCTGAGTAACGGGACCCATTAGGTTTAGCTCTGACCTTCACACTGTACTGTGTACCTGCTGGAACCTGTAGACATGCTCCAGTCTCTGGATGCTCTAGGGATACTGTCTGCGAACAGAAAGGTTAATATGACATTCACTGGTAAAAAACACACTGGAAGTGGAGAAGTGTCACATAAGCACTACTGAAGCACGATTCAATTCGATCCACAATGAAAGCGATACGTGAGTGGCACATTCTGAGCGTGGACTGAATAAAATTGTGCAACCCCTGTAAGTAACATCTTACCATCCATGCTTCACCTTCTCTGGTCTGGTAGCCCACTTCATACTGCAGGTAAGGCGACAGAGACAGAAGAGGAGCTTCCCATTTCAAGCACAACCTGCCTTTCTCCACTGCTCCTCTCAGATCACCTGGGGCAGGTGTTTTGACTACAAACAAACAGCACACACTCTGTCAGCTGCTGAAGCCATGGTACCACCAGCTTTCTTCACATCACCTGATGACTCATTAGCTAAAAAAATGAATGTAAACCAAAAAAAAATTTCATCAAAGAGGAACAGGACCACAACTCACTCACCGCTATTCTTGAGAGTGAACTCTTGAGTAAAAAAGGTTCTGCTGAGTGTAGGTGCAGTGCTGCTGAGCTTGACCTTGACTTGTCTGGACTCATCTCCATGGAAACGACCCAGGTTGTTGAAGCTTCCATTGGCCAGACTTTCGGTCCATTCTGTCCAGTCTGAAGAATTACTGCAAGGGTCACAATATCACTATGTCAAGTTACAGCCAAACAAATTCAATAAAAAGAGTGTAACCCAAACAATTAAAAACCTTGTGTTCACTGTTTTGGTCAGTACACAAAGTGAAATGCTGAGAGGAAGAAGATGGGAATTTTGTTGCTCACAGTAATGCTACATGTTTAGTGTTATTTGTGGAGGATGTCATTATAAACAACATTAGTGCACGGTTTCCATTACCTAAGACTCTTCTTGTAGAAAAGTTTATACTCATTTTTTCCATATCTGCTCCCATTCCACTGACAGGTGATATTTTGCAAGTCAGGGGTGTAGCAGGTGAGTGAAACATCATCTGGAAAGAGAAAAAAAATAAATAAGAGGAAAAGGCCTTATATGGTTAAGAATGGATAAATGAATGCATTCACTTAAATATTCAAACTTCTTATTAGCACCCACCTGCACTCTGGGGAACTATGGCTTTCACCGGCTGAGACCAGCTGCTCCAGTGTCCTGTGCCTGAATCTGAGGAACATTTGACAGTGACCTGGACCTCAACCTCCTCCCCTGGTACCAGAGACTCTAATGAGGCTAATAAGCGACTCTCCTGTACCTGTAGAAAAACATGCTCAATGAACAAACACTACTAAAATACAAGCTACAAAGTTGAGTGCATTAAACATACAGTATGTCAGAGTAGAAGAAAATAAATCAGTGATATGTTCATTTAATCAATCACTCATACCTGACCCAACAGCACATTAAGGCTACATTCACATTACATGCTGAAGTGGCCCAAATGCCATTTTATTTCCCTTCAAATGACTCAGCTGTAATCTTGGAGGTGTGAACCACCAGCCCAATCAGGTTTTTTTTATATCAGATCTGGGCCATTTGAGGTGGTCCTAGATCTGATCCATATCCAATCTCAGACTATGACACCGCTGTCAGAATTCATGTGGTTTTCTTTAATGTCTCCCTTATGTGCACACACAGTTGTCATCATTTGGTGTCCGCCCCTTATGAACTGATAAAAAAAAAAAAAACGAACATGGAGAAGGGCAACAGTAGCTAAAGGGTCGGTGAAGAGAGGAGGATGTTTCTCATTTGTTGGATCAGGGCTGATGACAACTTCTAGCGCAGACACTTGTCAGGATGGTAGGAAAAAAAATCAATTCACATTAGAATCGTGATTCAAAACTACGAATCTAAATCAATTCACAAACTCCGAAAGTTGATTGTCACAATGTTGACGAAATGAAAAATGCGGAACTCTACCGCAAAGCCAGTGTTGCACACGGACAACTTGCATATACTTGAATTGTGTTGTTCATCTGTAGTTGTGTAACGTTCATATTCAGACAAGGAATTTGTTTGTGTCTATTAATTACTTGATTATGAGCTTTGAAAGACAAGTGCGGAGAACTATGTGAATACTTTGTTACTACTGACGTTGCAGGCACAAAAGTATTTGCATCAAAATATAACCTAAAGTACCAAAAATAAAAAAGTTATTACGCAGACTGGCACATTTAAATTGTTGGATTATAATTATTGATGCATTAATTTGTTCATTTGATGCTGCAGCTGGTAAAGGTGGAGCTAATTTTTATAACCTTATATACTTATTTCAAGTACATACATACTGCTGGGTAGCAATATGTAAAGTACTTGGTTTTGATGATTATCAGGACCAGTTAGCTTTACTATTAAGTGCCATTAGTAGCTCAGTGGGCACAGGACAGAAGTCAGTTGTATGACACAGTAAACTAGGGTAACAGCCAAAATATAGTGCCCTTTTTTGCTTGAATCAAATGTCATTCTGTCTTGGATTGTGGCAGTAAGAATCGGAATCGAAAAGTATCGTGAGTTGGCCAAAGAGTCCCACCCCTAGACACTTAAATACTATAACTGACAACAAAAACTACTAAACAACTAAAATGTTTTGAAATAGCTTCAGTATTTTACTAAGCTAATGTATGAATGTGATTTCAAGGTCACTTTAGTAAAATAATCTGATGTATTGAAGAGTTGTGTACCTCTTTGATCCTCTCTCCAAGCCCCTGAGACGAGTATCGAATCCTATGCATTACAGTACTTCCACAGTAAGTTGTGAGCTTTGTGTGCCATGAAACCTGTAGCTGTCCTGCTTGGCCATTTTGGTATAAAGACACGTTGAAGGGGGGGTCCAACAGAACTAGAGACAAAAAAAACAAAAAAAACAGTTAACGTTACCTCAGGATCCACTGCTTCTGAAAATGATTTGCTGGTGTTTAGGTTAACAGGCCCTTTGTCTTTCTTGGTGTATGACCTTACTGACAGGTGATCAACACACTGGAGGGACATAAGTCTTCCAGTCTGGATCCACCTGGTATTTCTATGATCAACAGCTTGTTATGTTGGCTGCTTTCCTTTTAGTTGGCTTCTTCCTCTTGCCTTGTCATGTGTTTTGTTTTTTTCCACGTGTACTGCAATATCAATATTATAAAAATAAAAATACAAAGAGGAAAACAGCACCTCTTTTTATAATAAGCTTAAAATCATCAAGAAATGTAATATGTATGGCATAAGGTTTGGATTTAAACAAACTATATGTTTACATACAGGTGAAGTCTAGTCTTTTTGGGCCATGTGACAGACCTAGTCACACAGTATGCACAGCAGGTTTAATTCATTATTATTTTTAATTTAATTTTAATTTATATTTGTTCAGTAAATAACCCATGTTTTTCCATTCATTTTTAAAGTAAGTAAATATTCTAAAAGAAAAAATGTCTTACAGTGGTCCTCCACAAAAACAGTCCGCTTGTAGATGCTGATGTTGGTTTTGCACTCCACCACTTCAAGGAGCGTTTCCACATAAACGAAAACATCTGTGTAAGGAAATGAGCAGATATGGAGGAAAGTTCCCTCTTCTGTCGTCTGAACTGCCATATGACACCTTTCTTCTCTGGATGGGCTTGATTAGCAGAAGTGACAAACAGACACTGTGGTTTGTATTAATCAATAAAATAGAACAAGTTAAAAAAAAAAAAAGAAATACAATAATATGCCTAATTCTTTTTGCACTATGGAAACTTTGATTCTTCTATTTATCCATCATGCAATATGATCGGAGAGGGATTGGTCCCAAATTCATTCTGCAGTGTCACATCATCTCCGAACATTCAGTCAGTCATAAAGAACCATTTCCAGCAGTGACAAGGACAAAGAGGAGTCCTGGACTCAACATCATGAAGTCACTCAGAGTGCATGAAAGGAGAGAAGCAAAAAAAAAAAAGAAATACAATAATATGCCTAATTCTTTTTGCACTATGGAAACTTTGATTCTTCTATTTATCCATCATGCAATATGATCGGAGAGGGATTGGTCCCAAATTCATTCTGCAGTGTCACATCATCTCCGAACATTCAGTCAGTCATAAAGAACCATTTCCAGCAGTGACAAGGACAAAGAGGAGTCCTGGACTCAACATCATGAAGTCACTCAGAGTGCATGAAAGGAGAGAAGCAACTGAGAAAATTTAAACCACAGAACTGTGGTAAGTTCCCCAGGATGCTGGTACAACCTACCTACTATGCGCCTGGAAAAACTGTACACTAAGGAAAATTGGTGCCATTTTAAAAACAGGATGATCACAGCAAATGTTGATTTGGTTTAGTTTTTTTTTCTGTTTAGTAGGCTAATTAAATAAAAACTATTCATGGCACTTTTTAAAGCATTGTTGCCTTAATTAAAATTTGAACAGAACTAAGATTAATGCAAACTACAATAAAAAAGAAAAGAATGACTTTAAAAACTTGAACAAATAACACAATAACAGCAAGAATGAGTGAACGAAGTTACCTATATTCTACACTTTTATATTATGCGGAGTGGGGAAGCCAACGGCCACAGGATATTTAAGGTTTGCACTTCAGAGTAATGAACAAAAAATAATGCATAAAACATATAGACAATTCTTAAACAATATGAATGAATGTACTATTCCTATTGTTTTGAGACTCACTGAGAATAGATTTACTGTGTAGAACATACTTGTAAACCTTGTAGAGCAGATCATAAGTCCTGTTGTCTGCAGTCTCAAAGAAGCAGGTGAAGTCCTGTTCTGTCCGGGTGAAGCATTTCGGATCCTGCTCATCCTTGAAGAGCAAAACATCTGCTCCAGTAACGACAAGCAAAACACGTGAGTTTCAGTGGAATAAAACAGGTCCCTCAAAGTCGAACTAAAATGTTTTAACTTGTGAAAGTAAGATGTGGGAACCAGTTAGTGTGTTAGAGTAAGGTTTTTCTGTTTTACAAAACATAGCAGGGACAAGCTGATACAGAACATACTGGCACAAAATATCTTGTTTGCACAGATAGTAACTCCTTTGCCTTACTCTCACCGTTGGTTTGCAAAAGTATATATAAATTTCCCCACAAAACAGTAACTTTAAACATATATATTGCTTCTTTTAAGATTCCTTCACAAACAGAGAATGCTGTGGTTGCTTCCAGATAATAACTTTTGCCTACCTCATATTTTCTGGTTTCCACAAAGTAACATCTTGCTCTCACAAGACTGAAACGCCATGTTTTCAAAGTATGGCATAGCATCAATACAAATAAAGTATAAATGAGAAAAATGCAACTGTAACATTGGACTGGAGTAAGTGTAACTTGTTCTTCAGCTGTACAAAATCAACAAATCATCCTTAAGTCCTACCTTCTCTTGACAGACGGACAGTTCCGTCCTTGCATCGTATCCCAGGCACTAAGCCCACCTGTATCCACAAGCTGATAAGAAGTGTCTCCCACCTGCAGGGAAAATTCATGGTATGTTGTTATGTATCCTAAACTACAATGGCGCTTAAACTAGCACAGCACATGCCTCTGTGTTATCTGTTAAACAGTACATTGTTCTGAATTTGCATAGGTGGGTAGGATTGAGCATTGCTGAGGGGGTAACCCAGTGAGCCACGTTGTGCTTGGCCAGTAAGCTGCTTTGTGTAGAGTGGAAGTAAACACCAAACAAGGCAGTTTGGGAGGACTGATTGAGAGTACAAGTCTTACTCTACATTATATACAGTATGATCTTGTCCAAATCGTAGCATTACAAACTTTTAGCAGCTAATCTTAAATCCAATATTTCCACAGATTGTGCTGCTCCGCCTAATTATGACAAACTGGTCCACAAGTCTGGATAGCTATTGTTACATTAATCCGCAGCCGCTGGTTTCAAACATATACTAGAGTTAGTATTAAAAAAAAATTCATAGATTAGCTCGTTTAAAATGTCGTATTTTAAGTCGAAAGAGCTAGCTAACTTACCCTAATTAGATAGTAACACCAACTAATTTGCTATATAATTTGTTTTGCTATATAGCCCATAACTGGGGCTTTACTGATTAAACAATATAAAATTACTGTAACTGTTAAATTCTTCCAGAATTTATTTTCCACAGATGCAGTGCACGAGTGCCAACAGATAAATACTGACATAATCTATTTTTGTGAAACCAACCCAAGTGCAGGAAAGAAGTCAAAGTAAAGGCCACATATGGTGTTACAGTCCAGACTTAAAGACCAGTGTGCATGTCAAGAAGACAGGTTTTTCAGACGGGGGATAAATATATTTTTCATGGTGTTCTTCTTCCCTCGCTACCAATTTGTGGTGTTGTACAGCCGGTGTCTGTGTGGGAGTCATTAGGAAGCTGGCCGACCGTGACCATGTTTGACAGACAGTCCTGAGCCTGTGGTTAGTTCACAGAGGAAACCCAGTGACAGATCAGCTCAGTGCAGCAGGGGAGATCAGTGTTCCTGAAGTCTCCAACGCTTTGCCACCCAGTACTCTGGCCTGCAGGAAAACAACAACAAAAACACAATGCAGTAGTACTTCACAAGGTCATCATTGTAAATGTAAAAAACAACAAAGTGTCACAGAAACTGAGATTCAAAACTCGAAAACTGGATTTACGTAAATTAAATGGAACTACTTGAGGTGATGAGTCCAGTCATCACACAAAAGCTTTATTCAAAGAACAAAGTAATAAAACATACTGTACATTCTCATATAATGGATATACATTGTGTTTGGTTGCATAGTGTCTTAAGATATAATGGTAGTAGCTGGTAGACTGACTGTACATCAGCACTATATTAGTCACATTTTCCAAAGGCTACTCTTATAGTGGAGCTTTGCATGCAACATACCCACCATGGCTGCACTTATAGCAGTCTGTCTCTGACTACACTCAAATAGGAGGCTTTCATACAGCTACATATTCTTAAAAATGACAGAATACAAACAGTAGTAGTAACATTCACATGGCAGTGATAAGCAAATAGTAAAAGACAGATGGCATGAATGAGGCTGGTTTTAGGTGCTACAGTGAATGTCTTTTGCCCTTTTCTAACACTCTGAAAACTTGAAAGCTTATGGTCCATACTGTGCCTTTTAATGTCATCTTCATAAAAAGATTCCCCTCTCCGTTCAGGGCAACAGAGAGAAAATGAAGTCCAGCACCATCACCCCACAGACCCTGTGGTGTTTCAGCAAGTTACATAGCTCCTTATGTGCCACTTCCCCTCAAGGCTCAGAGAAAAGGGTCCAGCATTGTGCCTTTTGTAACAACAAGAGGTACAATGTTGTGTCTTTTTTCTGGGACTGTTTTATATCGACAGGAGTCAGTATTTCCCAAATGGTTAGTAGCAATCACATATCTCCATCCAAGACCCAGCAATACTCCACATCTCCTCATGCCTCTGATACATCCACAGTGTCCTTTCACAGTCCTCTGTCTATAACTGGGTGGTTTTGGTAGAGCACTGCGTCCTCCTGTCTCCACGCTGAGCATCAGGGAGGTGGCAGTAACGTGGCGAGCACCTTCGGGACTTTCTCTTGGAGCTACATGGTATGCTAGGGTCTGGGGGGGCTGGTAGTCAGGCCTCCTCAGCTGTGGCATCTATCCCAGCATAGGTGAAGTTCTCAAAGAGAGCCATGTTCACATAAGCCTAGAAGATGGATGAAAGTTTGTGATTTTGTATTTTAAAAGATAATTGCACACCTGTAACCACTGGAAATTCAGTGTAAAATAAAGCAAACTCTAATATACAAAACTAAGAGTCTATAGCAATGCTGGTGGTTCTGAAAGGTCGTACTACAAGAGACAACTGTGATTTGAACTAAATATGGCTAGCATCTACGATCTTGGCTGAGCACATCAGTGACAAGCTCAAGTATCAGCTCTACAACAAATGGTACAAGTTGAAGAAGTGGGTTTTAACAGAAATAGAGCAAAGGTTGGTCAAAATCAAATTCAATAGGAATCCTGCTCTGGTCATCATGAATGCCTACAAAATTTAATGGCTATCCATCCTAAAGTTGTTGAGATATTTCAGGCTGAACCAAAGTAGCAGACATGGCTAATAAGGAGCTATTGCCCACATAGTCATTTTTAAATCAACTATCTGGTTTGACCATGGCTCCAATAGCACTGTGGTAACCATTTCAGAATAATTGTTCCAGGTGCTAACAACAGGATGTTTTCCTGTTCTTCCCTTTCTAGTGTGAATGCAGCGTTACCTTCCTAGCCTCCTGCATCCTGTTGAGCTGGACAGAGATTTGGGAGAAGGGGGGTCTTTCATAGGGCCGATCCCTCCAACACTGCCTCATCAGCTCATAGCTGGAGAGGGACAAATACATGGATGAACAGGGTAAAATAGAGAAAATAACGGCAGAAAAAGCTAATCTTTACCTACAAAATGCCAAATACTTACACTTCATCATCACAGTTTTTGGGTTGCTCCATCCTGTAACCTTGTGGCAGTTTTTCATAAAGCTCAGCACATGTCATCCCACAATAAGGTGTACCACCTGACATGCACAGAAGAGGAGAAAAACATTAAGCTAATACTGAAATACAGTACAACGCACCAAAATTTTGTAGTTGAAGCTAAGAGATCTGTACTCAATATTACAATGTATAGGAGTAAATAGAAAAGCTGGGCAGTATGCTTGCTTACCTAAGCTTACAATTTCCCACAGGAGAACACCGAAAGACCACCTGGGAGAGAAGACACAAACCTAAGTCAGAAACATGAGTAAACTAGAGAGAAACAAATAAGTAAACAATTTTTATTATTTGCACCTGATAATAATCATTGACTTACAGTAATGCCTTAATGTAACCTGGGACTTTCTCCCACCTGCTGATCTACATCTACAATAAATGATGAAATATTAAGAATCTAGTATTTAGTCTTGTCATCCTAAAATAAATTCTTTATGTGGCTAAAAATATTGCGGTTGTATGTTAAACCTCCTGATTTTCATGTTTTTACAATGTTTTGCATCGGGAAAATACGACTCAATTTGAAAATCTAAATAATTAAATACAAATGCATAAATTAACTTTAAGAACTTTTACAATAATGTCTTCTTCATCTCTCTAAATAGCTGTGACCAGCCAGAATTCTTCCAGGTCATCTGTGTGCTTGTTGGAAGGTCTTTCTATTAATTATAATAGTGAAAAATCTGATTATTCTCATCATAAACATAGAAACTGTGAAGAACCACGGAGTGCTTTACGTGAAACCATCTTTACTGCAGATCTGTTAACGTCTGCATTCAAGAGAAATACCATCTGTTTCACCTGTCACAAAGCTATGTGGTAGATCATATGAGCAGATAAGTGTTGTTGCCCCTTTGCCTTTGTTTATTTCTTGTCTTCTGTGTCATACGTCTCTCTCTGTCTCACATCTTGGTCTCATTTCTCTCCCTCACACTAATGTTTACAACTTTCTCTGGGCCAAGAGGCGAGTTTCACACTTCTTCCGTTAGCTGTCCTACACTCTTCTAGCTTGTTCTCCACTGTGTATAAATAGGCACCAGTTGACAGACCAACGTCTCAGTCCGTCTGCTCAGTTGTACCCAAGGCTTCCTGGTTGTGCTTATCAGTTACATAGCACACCATTATCACTCCAGCAGTGACAGAGAGATGATTTGTTGTTTTCTGTGGTTAGGTGTTCTGTGGTGTACATTATCAAAACTTCACTAGAGGTTACAATAATTCTAATAGGATTCCTGTAAAGCCAAAAAAAAAATGAGAAACAAGACTTGCGATTATAATATGTTCTTGATTAAAGAAATTTGATTATCAGAATACCATGGGAAGTTTTTTTTTTTTAAACCACTTAGCCACTGTTATCATGTTTTAACATAAGCAGACTACCATGCCACGCAGTATACCTAGAAATTAGGCTAGTTTCAAATACAGACATAATGGTCTAATGTGATAGCCACTGTGAGGTTGGCCTGCCCTGAGAAACGTCACCTTTTGCAGTGAGTGTGGCAGTTAAATGTTAGATGTGTTGACACTGTAACTCACACATCACTCTTGGTGGTGTACACACTATAGTTCAAGGACTCGATGGCCATCCAGCGCACAGGCAGCCTCCCCTGGAAGCCAAGCAGAGTTATGTCAGACCTTCTATATGATGACACACTGTACATTTGTTCACATGTGAACATTCTGACTGTGAATATTAGAAAATAAGATACATTAATTTAAAAAAAAAGTTTACATCTGTATTATTAAATGGCAGAACTTTCTGTGGTTTATGGCTTAGTACTCTGCTGCACTAGGTACACTACTGCCCTCTACAGGTGATCTACCCTATTGTCAAAATCAGTGCCTGTCTGTGCAGTACTACACAGCAAAACCAGTCCAAATGTGAAATACCTCTCAACCTGTAATAAATCTGAACAACAGTAAGAAATTGTTCTTTTTATAATAGTATGCCAATATAATATTAGCCACATCATGTGCAGACCTCTGTAGCTAAATTTACTGTTTGTCTGTGCAACCTGTTATCTTTTTGCTATTTCAAGACAACCTTCGAGTTACTGCCTTGAGAGGAAAGTGTACATTTTGCAGTAACAGCCAATGTGATAATAGCTAATATCAATAGCATTAATCCACTCTTATCAAAGTGGAAATACATTCCTTTTCTCCCAAACAATTTTCTGCTTGAAAAAAGCGCATGACCTCACAACTCACCATTGTTTTCTTAACGTAAACTTCCTCCCCACGGGACAGACCAAAGTCTGCTATCTTCGCCACAAGGCTGTCCCCTACAAGGACATTCCTGGCTGCCAAATCCCTGTGAATGAACTAATAAGAGCAAGAGCATAGAGAAAATAATTCATGCATGTTTATACACTGCACATTTAAAATGACTTTTTGATAAAAAAAATAAATAAATAAAAATTATATAAATATAATAAACTTATTAAAGGACAGATATAAAAAATAGACAATACACACATACAAGCAGCTGCCCACATACAAACTCTTTCTCCTCCTACCTGTTTGTCACTTAGATAATGCATCCCAGTGGCCACATCCACAGAAAACTGCAGCAGCTGCTGGGAGGTAAGGGTGGAGGCAGTGCCATGCTCCTTTGCAAAGGCAGGGTCGGTCTCCAACACACGACTCTTCCTCAGGAAGTCAAGAAGGTTACCATAGGGAGCATATTCAATGGCTATGTATAGGTAACCTGGAGAAGTCAGAGGGACAGTGGTTACAGTTTACCGCAACCTCTATACTGTGTCTTTCTGACCCACCTCTAACACATTTATCCCCTTGTCATATTTTATCTTGTGTTAATCTCACCAGAGCCAGGGAAAGTCCACCACAATTACAGCAGTTAGTACCATACTAGAAATAATACCATTATAGAAATAATACGGAAACATGGATAGACTTACTCAAAATGAAACAGTAGCCGATCTTTCCTGGCAAATTGGCTAATATGAGGTACAGTATTGTAAATGTATTGTTTGAGTGTTTAGGCTCTTAATGCAGTGAGGAAAATATCATGTAGGGGAGCAGATCACGGTCTAGAAACCAGTAAATGTTTTTATGTTATGGTACTTGATCCAAAGAATGCTTGACTATTTTGTTTTTCAATCTGTATCTTCCCACTGATATTTGAGTAGTTATCAAATATCTGTTAGGTTCATTTCCTTCTTTAGTCCTGCCGTCCCCATAGACACATTCAATTTTTTCACAGCGTTGATATGAGAATGAAAGTGAATATGTCCCAGGTCTCACTAAGATGAGAAAGTGCACAAAGGGTAAACAAAACCATATATCTCACATTTTCTGAAAATTACAGACAGATGTTCAGTGGCTCAAATGAATAAAAACCTGAAAACCATAAAAAAATGAAAATTAAATGACAAAAACAGCAATTGAGTAACAGCTTGTATTACCACTGAGAGCCAGAAACTTTATATGTTGCAATAAAAGACATTTTAACAGCTTCTCCCTTAGAAATTACCCCAAATAAGGGGAGAACCTGTGCAAGAGGAACACTACTAGTTAGAAGCATTTTGTACCTCTTCTTGAATGCTATGAATGTATTTTTTAGTTTATGGATGTGTACTCTATGGTGCTGTAATCACAACCACTGGGTTCTGCTACTGTAGCTGAGGTGAAGGTAGTATATTTGTATTTTTGTGCTCTTATCACTGTAGGGAGAGTAAGTTAAACAATGGACACAGCAGAGTGAAGTGTGTACTGTAGCTGGGGAAACCGATACCCCTCGATAAGAACTGGAGCAAAGGAAACCTTATATAAATACATAAATACACACAGCAGCTTGGTTGTGAGGCACAAGTACAAATGTGACAGCACAAAATGCTTCTAACAGAAGAGGATTATTTAGGTTGGGCACATTCTGGTGCTTTCCAGGTGCAGATGATCTGTCCAGATCTCAAGTAAGAAGAATTTAACCTGTTCAGTTTGTTCAGAAAACTGACTGAATCAGAACAGATACAGCTACAGTAGGATCAGCTTATGTTTATCAGCACCTTTTCAGTCCTTCGTAAAGCCTGTACTGATATATACATTCAGTATTGTAGGTACAATAAAGCTCTACATTATTGCAACATATTTTTATGTTACATAAGCAATGTCCTCTGGAAGATATACAGCAGTTTTTAGTTGCTAAAACCTGCCACAATAAAAAGCTGCCAGTATATCTCATAATTTCCCAACATAAATGTTTTGATAAAAACTCATACATTGAAAGCTTATCAATATCCAGAAAAGCCACCAGGTGTCGCTCACTTACCTCTGTTTTCACATGCTCCTATCAGGTTGATGATGTTGGGATGCTGGCCTAGTTTACACAGCACCTCCAGCTCCCCTGCAAAGTCTCGATGGTCATTCTCTGAGGCAAACTCTGCAGGAAGATCCACACACACCACAGCGTTAAAGTGCAAGCAAACCCGCTTTAGTCAGCAACTTCGAAATGAAAATTTCACAACAGTCAGAGAATCTACTGCTCTAGGATTGTCTTGTATTTGCTCTGTGTCTGTGTGTCATTGTGTTTACGTGTGGCATCTGTGAATGTTTATGAGGGCTTACACCCTCGTGTGCATGCATTACCTTTCAGCATCTTGATGGCTGCGCTCATTTTGTTGCCATCCTTCTTGATCATGGCTTTGATCACCTAGTTTTGAAACAGTTGTTAGTTTAAATGTTTGCCATTGTGAGTAAAGCATTAAAACCAATGAAGAAACATTTAAAATATTCAGAAATTAGAAGAGCCTAAAGACCTGGCCAAAGTTGCCCTCTCCAATGACATCTTCAAACTTTATGTCCTCCCACTCCAGGATTGGATAGGTGAGGGGTTCTGGGGTGGGCTTGGGCCTCCGTGTCAGTGTCAGAGTCCCGGAGTTAAACTGCAGAATAGTCTCCTCCCCCTGGGGATATAAACAGCCTTAATAAGCACCACAGTGAATACAGATATATTAAGGTAGTACTTTCAAACACAGGCACATTTTGCCAGACCACAGTTTTCAAATATTTGGTGAAAAAACCTTTAACAAATACTTTGAAGTATATTCTTACAGATCCAGACTGGTAGGTGAATGTGCGCCGGCGGTTGAGCAGCATCTTACGGATGAAGAACAGAGCCAGAAGTGCCAGCAGGATAGTCACACAGGTGACTGTCACCGAGCCCACCACTGCCACCAGCAGCTGGTAACTGTCCCCATCAGGCCTCCCAGCCACACCCTGGGTGGTTGGGGTTAAACTTTGAATGCCTTTTTAGCAGAGGGGAAGAAACGGAAAAGGAGGACAGGGGGCCAGGATGGAGAGAAAACCAAGTAGGGAGATTGAGATGATTTTCAGGCAGTGGAGATACTGAATATGGGCTGTTTGATATATTATTATCCCAAGTAAATCCCTGTTCCTGTGTGGGTGGTCATGTTCAGCGCAATGTGGGAAATACTGGCCTCATGTACAGAAGTGCAGAGATTTTCCACTGCGAGTTATTTTAAGCTTGGAAGGAAAATAAATTTTTATCCAAGTAACTATAAAAAGTTATTAATTTATGTCACTGTATTGTTTGTTTAATCACTCATTTTGGAAAGGATTATTCTGGTAAATCAGAAATATTACTTGTTTGCTATACTACTGCTGCCCTATAATTATTTATTTGGATCCCCATTAGTTGTAGAAAGGATTAGAACAGGTTTTTTCAAACCTTTTGGTATATAAATTTATGGTTTTACACATCAATTAGAATTTATGAAACAGAATCAATCAGTCACTGTTAGAAATCTCCTTTGATTCCATTTGCACAAGGTAGATCTTGTTGTAGTCATGCTGGACAAAGGTGGGTGAGTAGAAAAATTCTTACTCACCATCTCCTTGTGTCATTGCCTGAACAAATTTGCTCCACTCTCCTGGCACTTTGGAGAAGGCCCTCACTCTGAACTGGTAGAGTGTGCTGCCATTGAGCGCTGTCACGTCTTTTGTGGTCTTGTTCCCATCATCTGTGTCCACCCAGATGTGGGGACTCCCCTGGCTAACCGGCTGGTACTCGATGGTGTATTTAATGATGCCTCCGTTCGGGTCCTCAGGGGGCTGCCACCTTACCTGGATGGCTGACACGGACAGGGGCAGAGCCTGGACGTTGCGTGGGGATGATGGGCCTGAGACACAGAGAGAGGCTCAGCAACAGTGTTTCTGTAACATTATATTCTAAAATAAAACTACTGTTCAAATCAAAGGCTTGTTTGCTTAGGGAACGCTTTAGCACCAGAGACTAGTGTTTAACAGCAATAATTATAGTTTAGTTTGATCTGTTTCTAACTTGTTGATCCCCACTGGCTGAAAACTAAAACTGATCACATCTTCACTCCAGAGCCTTTTATTCACACAACGTTTGTGGGCAGAGAGAGTCACAAAGCATTAACCAATCTTACTCTTTACCTGAGTTTAAAGTGAATTTAATAACTATTATCATTCCATTAATTTAAATAGCATATTTATTACTGAAAATCAATGCATCATGTGAAGCTACTGCCACTATAAATGCACTGACAATTGTGTTGCATTTCGAAGGAGCCTTTTGAGCTTATTTTGAGCCAACAGCAGAGGTGTTAGTTACCCTGGCTATTGATGCGGAAGTGGTAGGGTTTGGAGTGGGGGCCCTGGCTGCCACAGTTGATCAGGCACACCACCACGGTGTAGTCTTGATGGTACTCCAGGTTATGAAACTTGGTAGAAAGCACATTGAGCAGGGTGGTCTTTTCCAGTAGTGTCTCTTTGTAGGGCACTGGCCCGAAGAGCTGCACTAAAAAACCACTAGCCGTACCCGCAATATTCCCGATGTTGGCGGGCAGTCGCCAGCGAACAGTGGCATTGCGGCCCTCCGCTGAGCTGATGTCAATCTCAGGTTGAACTGTGGGCTCTGAGGGTGACAGAGAACACAGGATGATGGGACTAAAACCTCTGTTTTAAATTTCTCCTCATGAAGTCAGTTCCCACACACTGATACATAAAGTATTTTGCACTGATCTGGATGACCCATCACCTTGTTCCTCTCTTTTAGGCTTCAGCACCTTATATAGGATAAAATGTATAAATGAAATAGATACTTGGCTACAGTAAGTGCGGTATTTGTTAATGCTCCATCTTGACTTAAACCATTTGTCTCTTGTGGATAGTCTTAAACTGTTTTGTCCATACCAAATGGCCACAACATCCTTGGTTTGATCCCAGCCATGGACCTTTGTTGCATGTCATACCCAGTCTCCTTCCTTATGTTTACACTATTACAAATAGTCTGTGCTTACGCAATAGACCAATGTTCCCTTGTAACAAATACACATTGACATAACCACATATCGTCAAAGAATGAAACAGAAATGTGCACTATGACACTCTAAAACAGACGCTTAGTTTACCCAACATTTCCCTGTACTCAAACTCAGATCTGCTCTCTCCCACTGCACCACATTCACTGAGGAATAAAATCCTTGTTTTTTTGCATTGAACTACAGGTTTGTGATGAACTGACTTGATCGCATGGAGTAACCAGAGATCATTTGAGTCCATTGATATCTTTCTATATTTGCCCCAGATTTGATTAATCAGGACAGATATCTTCAGCGGGGATAAACAACTGGCTCCTTTAGGCATGAGAAAGGAGATTATGAGAATTTATTATTACTCTAAGCAGACACAAGATAACTATTCTTACTTATGTTCTGTAGTCCAGACTACAGACATTTGTTCCCAGTCAAGTTTTCCAGATAAATATACTCATGTACAGTGTTTGTGTTCCATGTGGACTATCCAGTTATCAGTGGACCTCACCAGGACAGTCAGTCTCCATGATGGCTTCAGGCCCTGGCTCCCCCTCTCCTCCTTCCCCAGGACGACTCAACTGGACACGGACACGATAGCGTGTTGAAGGCTCCAGGTTCATTAGCGTGATGGGCTCTTTGTCACTGTAGACTGAAAGAATGTGCATACAGTGTAAGGTGATTACACAAGTTTTTATTTATGTCTCACAGAAGGATTTTTAGAAAAATGCTATGATTTTAGCTAATACATTATAACCTTGGATGATCTCAGAGTAATTATTATAATATAACCTGAGAATACTTCCTCTTGTGATAAAGGTTATAATGGCTGACTTAAAAACCTATATCTTTGCCTGCTTACCTATTATGGAGGACCGGGAGTCTCCGTTTTTCACAGGTGTGTAGAGGAGCCTGGTGGAGAAGATGGGGCCGTCTCCACGGTAGGAGTCTACTGGCATCACCAGCAGCTGCTTACTTCTCTTTTCCAGCAGTTTGGGAGCAGCAGTGGGCACTGGGGGTTCTACATAGACATGGGAAATGATTTCACACACCGGTTTCCATAATGTGCGGTGCCTGTCACAAAATAACTCTCTCATCTACATTCATCTTTCTCTTTTTTCCTCTCCTCTCTTACCTTTAATGGTGAGGTTGAATTTGCGGGAGTCCTGGCCTCCATTTGTGGACACCCTACACTCCCACAATCCTCCTTGTTGAGCATTCAGTTGAGGAATCTCAAACCAGGCTGTAGACCTATTTGAGTCTATGATGGTGTGAGTGGCCTTGGAGTAAAATATATAACACACAAAAGTAAAGCAATGCACAGTGATAACCACATTTTCATTTCCTGTTTATTTTTGCTGCTGCTTGGGATTTGTGCTAATAGTGTCCTCACTTTGAGACATTTCTTTGTTCCTGTAGGAAACCCTGGCACATTTCTTTATCAGATTGTTTCTATTATCAAGGAAACAGCACAGAAAGAATAACACAGAAAGAGAACATGCCACTTATGGGCAACATGTGGTAAATACAGTGCTGTATAGTGGTACAACTTTATCTGGTAGGCCATTGTGTTATTGACTTCCTCAGAACTTTGTAATCATCAGCTCAGACTTAAGGGCACAGCACGTTCAACTACTGTACAGCACTGCTCAACTTTATTCTTTAGCTGATGTGACAATGTATCAGAGGTCCACATGCTGCTTTAATTATTTCATATAATAATCAGCTAATTAATGGGATAATCTCTTAGCTTTTACACATTTAAAGGAATAGTTTAATGTTTTGAGAAGAGAAGAGTTAAATGAGAAGATCAGTATCACTCTCAGTTCTGTCTTTACATATGCTGCTTGATGCTATGACGCTAGGAGAGGGAAACAGCTACTTTGCCATTGCCCAAAGTTAAAAAAAGAAGTCTCTAAGTTTCACAATATTGTTTCTCCAAGACAATTCATATGTACTATATTGCAGTCTCGCTGTGTGGCCTGTTTTCTCTCCGCCTGACTTCTTTGACTTCACCTTTCTCCAGCCTATTTATTTTGTTTATTTTTATTCAGGCTTACTGTAAGTTACAGTATCTTGGCAGTCACTTTGCAAGCAACTGCTGGTCTTCCTACCGTGAGCACAGTGCTGTCCAACTTTCGCAGCTCAATACTTTTGTGGCTGGGTGGGGGGTTGCCTGTGGCGGAACAAGAGATCTTTGGGCTGGAGTTAAGATTCCACTCCAAATTGCTTTCCAAGTCTAAGATCTGGGGAGCCCGGTCTGAGAGATGCATTGAAAGGAGAAAAAATATAGACAAAATAAATAGCGATATAGAAAATGCATTACACTGTGCAGTAGAGAGAGTGATGAGAGAGAAAAAATAGATTAGACAAAGATTTTTTTTTTTTTTATTAACCCATTATTCAGATTTTGAAATCATATGTCCCACTATCTTTATTTTTATATTTTATATGTTTATCTTGTACATAAAGGAACAGAAGAAGTATGTTCATGATCATTAAAGTCTTAGAACTTATCCTGGTTTCACTGCAGTTTTATGGGATACCCTAAATAAGCCAGGTTATCTGATGAAACATTGGTTTAAACTGCATGGAGGCAGAGCTACAGCAAAATGGAGGAAAAGAAAGGAATACTATGACTGTAACAAAACCTACCAGACTTCTCACAGTTCTGCCCTCTCCACCCTGTGGGACAATGACATCCACTGAAACGGCTGCAAACTCCTCCATTCTGGCATTTACAGCTCAGCCTGCAGTCTGGTCCATACATGTCACTGTGGCAAGCTGGCAACAGAAAACAAAAAAGTCCTGTATGCTGTATTTGGTGACATACAAAAGGGTAAATGCATGTTACTAAACCCTTATGAATATTATTTCAATTAAAAAATACAGGGACAAATTTAAGTGATGTGAGTTACCCTTCTCACAGCGGCTCCCAAACCAGCCGCTAGCACAGGAGCAGCCGTAAGGGTCTGGTAGACAGAAGCGAATCCCTTTGCAGTTCAGCTGAGAGCCACATGACTCCTGGCAGTTTCGACCAAACATTCCTTCTCTGCAGGCTGCAAACCATCAGAGCAAGACAAATTTACAAATCTGTTTATTTAAATTCCTTTCTTTTGTTGTATCATGCCTCAACATGCCTTGCAAAACACCACAGAGGATGGTGTCTGGCAATGTTCTGAAGATTTTGAGTTCATTGTTAAATTGGATTCTGTTATCATCATGCTCTTTGGAACATATAATGTTTAATGACAATATGATGAAGTCAAAACTTATAATATCTGGTCAAACCTGATTTGATCAAAAAGAGAGTTTAGGCACAGTTATTGCGCAAATACAGAAAATATGTAATATCTGTGTAATTCCTGTCATTTAAACACAGTGTACCTCACATATAGTCACCAATCAGATGGATTGCTTTGATGTGTTATTTTAACTGGGTTATTTACCCAAAATACAACATGGCATGGGTGCAAACTGCTATAATTTACTGTGGGGCTTTTTAAATCGTCACTGTTAATATGTTTTCTCTCACAAATTTGATTGTCATATGCACATCAAAGTAAAACTGTTGTTCCTGAAACTGGGCCAAATGACTATTTTGGTGAGCCATTGGTGTTCTATACACAAATAGTGGATCGTATCAACTGGGTAGTTATTTCATAAGTGGGCCGGTTTTGACCCAGTGGTTTTAGTTTGCACCCATGGGCTGTCTTGAAGTTTTGTAGATATTTATGTTCCCAAGAAAAGTAATCCTTCTGACTTTGGTGATCCCCTAACTTTACTCCAGCTGAAAGCATTCATATAGGTGCTGATGTCACAAGTTACTGTATGCACTGTGAATGTAGTGCAATTAATCATTAACTATGAGTAAAGTTAAAACTATTCAGAAACTGGTTTATGGCAATAATGACTGAAATCTCACCTGATACAAATCTTCCATCTCTGACCGTTTCACTCACTCACTCACTCACACACACAAACCTGTATTGACACAGTACAAACCTGTCTCACAGCGTGTCCCCATAAATCCTGGAGGGCAGATACAGTCTCCATCCGCATCATGACACACGCCACCATTAAGACACTCCGGACAGTCCTTGTCACAGTAAGGACCCCACTTCCTACTGGGACAATCTACAGAGAAGCACAGTTTTCTTTCTTTAACAGCACACAGCACATATAAAGTGTTAGCTGCAAGATCAGCAAATGTTTCATCCTCCTTGAACATGTACACTGTTTGCCTCAGTACACTTGTAACCTTTCATTCTATTTCACACCATGTTGATGGACATTGTCTTTTGCGTATTTATAGATTTTTATTATATTTTGTATCATATAGTTTGTCAAGCACAAATTTATTTAAGCAACTTTAAATGCAATAAAATACAGGGTGGGACATGGAAAAGTGGTAGTATGAACGAGCAGGTGGATTGTTTTGGAGGCGGGCTACTTTTCCTTGGCCCACATGGTACATGAAGATGGGATACAACAAGTCCCAGTATCATAGTAAAATGCACAGAGGTAAACCATTACATTTGGTGGAGAGAGGAAGTGTGAGAAAAAGGAGAAACTCAATGTTGTGCAGGTGGAGGGTGGACAGCTATCCTGGCTCTGTGCAAAAATAAACGTTAAATCCACTTACCAACACCTCTAAAGCACACGAGTTATCACTTTTTAAATCTCATTTTATCTTTACAAAAACTAGAGGGCAAACAATCATTTGTGGGTTGACGGAGGATGTTATGTGTTGGCCATCTGCAGTGACCTCCCCGGGTTTTGTCATCAGGAATTATTTTTACCTTAAATTTAATGTCTTTTATATTTACTTATAATGAATGACAAACCAAATATTCCTGTGTGCATATCCAAAAACATGTGTATTTCTGGACAGATGCATCACATATGTGCCTTAAAGTTGTTGCAATGGCCTTGATACAATCTGTACCTGATGGTGTGTGTGTTTCTGTTTCGAAGGTGTCAGAGTCCAACAAACCTCTGACAATGAGTCTCATCCAAGCACCTTGGAGGGGGCTGTCCCCCACATAGCTGGCACTGTAGATGCCTTGGTTGGCATAAGCTGCATTCTCAACAGTCAGCACTGCAGTGTGGTTGACCATGTCATTCCAGTGAGTCATATAATAGTAGTTTCCTTCACAAAACACATAAATACATTAATGGCAGTTTGCATTGTGTCAGAAGCAGTCATCTATACTTATTTTCCCAGTATCCTAAATCAAAAACCTGTAAGTGTGGTTATTTCTTCCAGATGGTTTCTTAATTGCTTGCAAAATTTCCTTTCCGTGTAAACTGGCTTACCATTGTACTTCCAGGTCACATCTCTCTTTTGTGAGTTAAGTAGTTGCATGCTGAGGTGAACTGCCTCTCCTTTGTTAGCAGTCAGTGTTAGGTGAGTTGGAATAAAATTTGCTGCAAGGAACCCAAAAACACACAGATGACACACCATCCAAACTGGATGCAAAGGGAAACTGTAGAGCTTAAATGATTGGGTCATAGATTAAGTGCTTGGTTAAAAAAAAAGAATAAAGTAAAAGCTGGTTGTATGGGTTTTTATGAGGTCTGAACATACCTCTGGCAAAGTTGCTTATCATTGTGACTGTCTCAAGAGGGGGAACTTCCTGCTTGGATTCACAGTAGAAGATACCAACATGATCCAGGTCACGGAAATCTCTGGCCATTACCTCTTTGTTCCTGAGGCTATGTACCTTAAAATGTGGCTTTTTGGGGAATACGAGGATTTTGTTGTCTCTTTTGATGTCCAGCTCAGCCGGGGCAGGGCTGCGCTCTCCATTGATGCAAGAGATGTTGAAGTGATTGACGCTGGTGGCCTCTGCTGTGGAGGTCATGGTCAAGTCGATCACAGCATCTGTAGGACAGGGCATTGGTCTGTTATTCTCTGGCATGAGGGAGAGATGTTGGGGGTATTGTGCGTTTGATTTGTTTATCATACTACAACGGGGCTTCCAAACCTTAAGATGGAATCCACTGAGTTATGAAAGTATTTTTTCTTATTTCAGGAAAGGAAATAGTAAATGATTCAAGACAACATGATGTTGATTAAATATTTTCAAGTGTGCTGGATTTTTGCAATGAAACTAATAAGCAGATGTGAGAAATGGGAACCTACTAGATCCTGATTTATAAAGTTCTATATCCACTCAGTCATCAGTGTATTAGCCACATCATACAAAAACCTAATGCATTCTAGTACAACAACCATGAAATAATTGATACTCTCATGGTAGTTAATGTTCATTTTTTGTTAAAGCACAAAATAACCTTATAGTTGAAACAATACCTCTCTAAAAGGAGTCATATCAAAAAGTGAGCATTATAACCTTAGTACAGTGCTGTTGCATCAAACTGCATCAGATTAGGTGTACCTAATAAACTGGCAACTAAGTATATTTTTCAGTTGTTTTAAAATCATAGTCGCATCTGTTTCAGCATCTTTATCATATATTATTTTACTGGTCATGTTTCATACAGCAATATTCAATTCCACTGTTCATATATCAGGTGTTGACTTCAACAGAAATCTTAGTGATTCTATTTATCAATCCACATTAATCCCATCTCTGACTTTAAACTTTGCTCTCACACAATCTATGGCAGGAATTTAGCTCGAATGGTCTAGTCTGAACATGTTAAGAGTTTCTGAATTAACTGGCAACTTATTTGATAACTTATTTCATACTGTATGTCTGAAACAGTGGACACACTAGGTCACCCCAACACATGAAGTGCAATACCAATAACAGCAGAAAAATCACCTGCAATCCACAAGTGTCTTTCTAACAAACATTAGAGTATATCTACAATTTTATAGTGTATTAAATGGAAAAATGACTCTCTGACTCAAAGCATCTATACACAGTTACCTGAGAGGATGGCTGTTAAACTGGCACATCAATTCCCATGTATGTAATTTGGTTCAAAAAGAAAACATGGCTTTGAGTGCCAATAATTTACTCAATAGTGTGCAGCATTCCATATCCCTGACATTCCCAAGATCCACAGAACAATGGCAGGAAGCATGGATGAGCTCCTTTTTCCCTTAAGGATCCACAGATTTCTCTGCACTCTGAAGGTTTTCATTACTTTACAGTCAATAACGTAACAGTTGGAACATTCATCCAACAAAATATCATTTATTTTAAAGCATATAATGACATGTTGCAAACAAGGTAGTGCATTTTCTTCCTTAACGTTCGTCACATTTCTCTAAATTAGGCTAAATTTCGGATATGCATACATACATACAGCTTTCAAACAAAATTGGCTCTTACCCGATAAATCAGCGAAGCACAATATAAACACCCACAGAATTCTCATGATATAGATAATCCTCATCAGTAAAACGTTGTTAATAAATCAACAGCCAGTTCGAATTCACAGGGAGAGCGCTACATCCAAAACGGTGACGCTGCGTCACGACGAGCAGTGCGCTTTTTTACGCATAACTTGGTGAATAATCCAAATCTCCGGTTCAGGTGTAAAATCTCTTCGGTCACGGCCACAGCGGTTTTGTATAGTCTTAAGAAATGGTATCACTGGCCGTCACTGAGAACAGAGTTGGATTTGCGGTAAAGCCCAGCTTTCTGTGGGTGGGAGAGGAAGGAAGAGAGTCACCAGACAGCGGAGGACTCCTGGCGCTCTGGACCTCCCGATCCGAATAATATATTTATGAGTTTGTCACTTTTTGTTCCAGTATGATGCCAACCACTCTGCTTGTCTTTGCATACAGTTGATCCTATAAATTCTGGTGCTAACTGCTGTAGCTGTGAAATTCCAGAGTAATTACCGTTTCTTCTGTGGCACTACTAGGCTACTCTATTTTTACTATAGGATCATATTACCTATATTTAAATTTGTTCTATTATTTCTTTAGTACTCTTGAAATTGTAACAGGAACATTTTAGTTCTTTGTTGTAAGGAATGCTTGTAAAACACCTTTTACCTGGTAACACCTTAAGAAAGTCTGTGTTCATGTAATACACTTTAAAGTGTAAAGAACACTGTTGGAGAATGGAAGAATTCTGCTACATGATGATAAATGTGCTGGACCACACTATATTAAATGTATTTTTGTGGCCAGGATCTGCGCTCCACATGCCTCGTGTGTTGTCCAAGGCTGACTTTGCATTTTACTGCTGCCCTATACTTTTCTTTGTACATGTACAGTAGAGCCCCAGATGCAGGAGCAGCAACTGGAATCATGTTTTGCCAAATGCAACAGCTTTGTTTTTTCGCTTCAGTGAATGGTTACAATCCTTGCAGCTTTTATGGTCAGCTTCCCCCTTCTCTCATCATTATAACCAGTCAGCCTCAGGAAATGATGAACAATATACTGTACGTTTGTTGTGTCTATTCTGCTATTTCTGCCACGATCTTTCCAAAGTGCTGCACCGTCTCACACTGAAACATTTATCTGGAACAACTGCACACGCCTTTAATTATTTTCTCAGTAAAAAACTGTCAAGCTGATTTGATGTTTTCTTTACATTTCCTTGCTTCTTCAGACAATCAACTTGAAGTTAACTCAACTTCTTATTGTTTGAGATTTCCTGTTTTCAATTTGCAGGAGTTCATATGGATTTTTTTTGCCTGCAAAGAATATTCTAGTATATGCTGAATTCTCAAAAAACAAAGAATAAAATAATATAAAGTTTTGCAAATTGTTGGTACATCAAATTCCAATTTCAGTTGGTAAAAATATAAATGAATCACAAACTGAAAACCATGATCAAATGGAGATGTCAGTTCAGTTGAGGTTAAAAAAGAAAATGAACTGAAATAGGTGCATGCAGTTTGAAATGGTCTGGAATACAATTCCCAGTGTTTCCTTTTTGACTCTTGGCAAACAAAGGGTCTTGGCGCCTGCATATGGTCTCTTTGACCTGTTAGTGTGACCTGTGGAGTTCAGAAGCTAGAACATCTTCTTTTAAAAGACCATCTTATTTCCTCTGCACACTTCAAAAACCCAACCTAAGGGATTTTACAGTGAGAACAATGATACTGAACTGTCACATAATCAGACTACAGTCATGGCTGCAGCACATCAGTACAGTTTGGGCAACAACCTGTACTGACAAATAGGTTTTGCAAACTGTTCAATTTGAAACATTTTCTGATAATTATTACAGGTTTTCTACAATTCTGTTGATTATGTAGTTTCAATTTAGGAGAAAAGGAAGGGAAGAAGTGCAAAGACAGCTGGATTTTGCAGACACAGCTTGGTGGAGCCTTTATAGGAAGCCAGAGGGCAAAAGGCTGGGTCCACACATATTCTGGCTGATTTAAGGCCGTTAGAAGCCAGAGATGAAGGATGAGAATGTTTATCTGACTGTGTGTCTACATACAGTATACAGTATATGTGCATAAACATATATGTATAGGCATGAGAGGGAACAGGCTGTAGTGCAACGACTGGCTACTGTATATACCTAAAATATGGGGTGGGTGGGTGTGTGTGTGTGTGTGTGTGTGTGTGTGTGTGTGTGTGTGTGTGTGTGTGTGTGTGTGTGTGTGTGTGTGTGTGTGTGTGTGTGTGTGTGTGTGTGTGTGTGTGTCTTAGGGAATTATTCTAGTGGGGTGGACATGCAGGGGTGAAGACACTCTGTGCTCCTCAGATATTATAGCCATTGTATCCAAAAGTCTTTGTTGTCCTACAGTACTTATTATGAAGTGTTTGTTTATAAAGCGATGGCTGCTTGCTTCATAACTCTGCCAGACAAAGATGCGGCTCAGGATGTCTCCTGACCAAGTTCAAAAAGCACAATATTGCTTCCCCAAGGCATAAAAACAGTGCAACAAACAATGAACGGGTCAGCAGTGAGTTAAAAAAGAAAGAAAGAAAGGATTGTTTTTTGAACTTGATGCAAAAAAGGCAGGGTCCACCCTGGACAGGTCACTAGTCTATCACAGGGCTGACACACAGACTTATAGACAACTACACACACACACATTCACTCCTATGGGCAAGTTAGAGTCACCATTCAACCTAAGCTGCATGTCTTTGGACTGTGGGTGGAAGCTGGAGTACCTGGAGAGAACCCACACAGGCACAGGCAGAACACACAGACTCCTCACAGACAGGCCCCGGGTCGGCTGGGGCTTGAACCCGGAGCCTTCCTGCTGTGAGCTTATAGACAACTACACACACACACATTCACTCCTATGGGCAAGTTAGAGTCACCATTCAACCTAAGCTGCATGTCTTTGGACTGTGGGTGGAAGCTGGAGTACCTGGAGAGAACCCACACAGGCACAGGCAGAACACACAGACTCCTCACAGACAGGCCCCGGGTCGGCTGGGGCTTGAACCCGGAGCCTTCCTGCTGTGAGGTGACAGCGCTAACCTGTAACAGCTTCTGTTACCACTAAAATATATTCTTTGACAATCTCCGCTGCCAAAAGTTGAAAGATTGTGTGGAAATGCCTCCTAAAATGTGTCAAGTTGTAAATTTAAAACAGCCCACTCCTGGGCATGTTTTAGTGGTTTCTGACATTTTGTTGTGGTTGTACTGGAGGAGGTGGTGATGGTGAAGTTGGGAGTGTCTGGAAGTGAAACCGGCAACAGAGGCGGGAGGTCTGTGAGACTTTGCGAGAAGGTTTGTATTAAATTCCCATTTCCCCTCATTGTGTGGTGAGCTGGCCTGGTTTCACACACACTGATCCTGCTGGGCCCTGGGAGCCTAAGCAAGGGTGTCTCACTCACACCTCAGTCACCAGCAAATCCTTCCCCGTCTGCAGGTACAAACTCCTGACCTCCATCCCAACTTACTCCACCTGTCTGGAACCTTTCCCAGTGATCTTCCACACTTGAAGAAACTGTCTTTTTTTTTTTTTTGCTTTAAAGCATGATTTCTGTGTACGAGTGCTTGTGTGTGAGAGAGAAAAGCTTTTTAAGCAACATCATGACAGAGAAGATGAAAGACACAGAGACAGATTTAGAAATAGAGCATGTTCTGTGAACAATATTTGTGAAATTTAAAGAGCCACGTCTTACCAAACCGGATTTCCCCAAAAATAAAGTGCTATAAAACCCAAATAACTCTTGAGCATTACTAAGTCCCAAATGTGTTTACAGTCTCATGCGCTCTGTCTGTCATTCATGTTTTTAAAAGCAAAGAAATTTTCAACGCTACATGGTGCCAAACTGAAAGGTGGACAAACTGTTGTCGCAGCTACATTTCCCACATTAGCTCCCTCAGTTCTGTGAACCAAGGCAGTCAGCCAAAGAATGCTCCAACAGAGCTGAGCGGTGTGTGCCCTTCAGTTCTTACAATAATAAACTTCTGGAAACAGGCACATTCCCATGTGCCCCCGCCAACTCCTTCTAAGATCAATGTATGCACATGATACCGTTCTCCTGAGTACCCTAAGTTGGTCTACTGAGACCATGGACACCTAGGGACATACACAAAAGAAAGGCTTGAGTATAACTGACTGATCTAGCACTTCAGGATTTTTTAATTTTGTAAACTATGATAATATAAGGTGTTTGTCACATACCAGCATCTTCCAAAATATTTACTGTTTTACAGCTGGTTTTATTGCAGGGACTATGCAAAAAAAGTGTTTTTGGGTCTGTGCGTGTCACATGACTTGTTTTTATGACTGTGGTCACTATAAGTGCATTTCCACTACGAGATCCATGGTGCCTTTTACTCCCTCGAACTTAAGTCCAAAAACTGTCCCTGTGGTAAATGTTCCTGGAGCACACTGTGATGTGTGTTTCCACAGCAGGGCTGATGTAAATTAACAGATTTTTTTATTTTATTTTACCTGTCAAGGTTTTATTGCATGTACAGTAACAAGTGTAGGAATTGTTAACACATCCAAACTTGTTTAGATATGAAGCTTCATAATTTCTGTATCAAGACTATTAGTATTCACTAACGGTATCAGAATCAATACGGGCCAGCTGATGTAGAATGATCAGGTTGCATGATGATACACCTATGTTGGTACTGATATTTTTTAGACATACAAACATATGCAGGATTAAGGCACTGTAGCTATTTAGGACAGTGATCCACCTTCTTAGCTAAACACGATGAAGACAGGAGTCTGTTCAGACTGCAATAAATGAGACACTGGTTCTCAACCTTTGTCACATGCCGCTTCCTTTTCTCTCTTATATTTCACTTTCAACTGCTTTCTCACAAGAAGAACTGCCATTTAAGTAACCTTAAGGAGAAAATGCTTCCAACAGATGCAGAATGATGGGAAATGATTTGACAGAGGGCAAAAAAAAAAACAAAGTCAGTATGGCCACAGGGTGATCAGAATTTTCACAGATGATAAAACACATATGCTGGGGGCTGTGTGCTATGTGGGATACCATGTTATCTCGGCAAAGATGTAGCTGTTGATGATATAAATGAGCACATGCTTGCAGACTTAATCCCTCACCCCTTCAGTGCACATGCACCCAGTACCCTCCCAAACCAGCAAAGCTTTGGCATAGTGTTACACAGTGAGTTGCTGAAAGGTTTAAGGCGTTCATGAGTCAGGTTTCAAGGTCTCCTGGATGAAGAACTTCCCTACTAACCCTCCCATTTCCTCAGGCTCTACCAGTAATCGCAGCCA